ATTAATTAACTTAGAACACATTCCCCCATTTCACATTAATTATAATAATAAATGTGAAACATGTGTTGAAGCTAAACTAAGAAGGTCTTTATTTAAACCTGTTGAAAGAAATACATAACCTCTTGATCTAATACACAATGATGTTTGTGACTTAAAATTTGTTCAAACTAGAGGAGGGAATAAATATTTTATTACCTTCATTGATGATAGTACAAAATATTGCTATGTATATTTGCTTAAAAATAAAGATGAAGCTATAGAAAAATTTATTCTCTATAAGCCGGAAGTTGAAACCCAACTTAACAAAAGGATTAAGAGGATGAGCAGTGATTGTGGTGGTGAATATGTTGAACCATTTGGTCACAACATGGTATTATTCATAAAGTATCATCACCATACTCTCCTCAATCGAATGAAGTAGCGGAGTGGAAAAATTGAACATTAAAGGAAATGATGAACGCTATGGTAGGAAGTTCTGGGTTATCACAGAACATGTGGGGGAAAGTTGTCTATCAGCAAATTACCTATTAAATAAGGTGCCCCGAAAGAAAAAAGACAAGACACCATATGAGTTGTGGATAGGCAAGAAACCTTCCTATAATTACTTGAAAGTGTAGGGGTGTCTTGCAAAGGTAATGACTCCTTTATCAAAGCAAATGAAAATATGTCCTAAAACAGTGGATTGAATTTTCATTGGCTATGCTCACCACAACAATGCATATCTATTTCTTGTGCATGAATAAAAAAATCTAGAAATTCACAAGAATACGATATTAGAATCTAAAAATGCCTCATTATTTGAAAATATATTTCCTTGTAAAATTAGTGAAGTTGGCTCAAGTTCAAGGAAACAAACTTTAGAAACTATTAATGAAAATAGTCAAGACTTTCAACCAGAGGTTGAAGTCGAGATAGAGCCAAGAATAAGTAAAAAGACACGGGTAGAAAAATCCTTTGGATCAGATTTTCTAACCTATATGCTAGAGACTGAACCTGTAACTTATAGTGAAGATATACGTTCATCTGAAAGTAATTTTTGGAAAGATGCCATCAAGAGTGAAATTGATTCCATCATGCAAAATCATACGTGGGAATTAGTGGATCTTTCTCATGGAATTAAACCATTAAATTCTAAATGGATTTTCAAACGAAAAATGAAAGCATATGGAACAATTGATAAGTACAAGGCCAGATTGGTTATTAAAGGGTACCGACAAAAGGAAGATCTTAATTACTTTGATACATATTCACCCATACCAAGAATAACTTTTATAAGAATGATACTTTCAATTGTCTCTTTACAAAATTTAGAAGTACATCAAATGGATGTTAAGACCACTTTTCTTAACGGAGACCTTGATGAGGAAATTTATATGGAACAACCTGAGGGTTAGGTAGCTCCAGGACAAGAAAAGAAAGTATGTAAGTTGGTAAAGTCATTATATGGACTTAAGCAAACACCAAAGCAATGGCATGAAAAGTTTGATAGTGTTATGATATCAAATGGATTTAAAATAAATGAGTGTGACAAATGTGTGTATGTCAAAATCACTGTTGATGGATATGTAATTCTATGCCTATATGTTGACGACATACTCATTGTTGGAAGTAACAATGAAATGATAAAACATACCAAAAATATGTTAAATTTAAAATTTGACATGAAAGATATGGGACTTGCTGACATGATTTTGGGCATCCAAATCAAAAGGTCATCTGAAGGTCTCATATTGACTAGTCACACTATGTAGACAAGATTCTTGAAAAATTTGGCGAGGATGATTCTAGTGTAGCCAAAACTCTGATAAATACAAGTCAACATCTATCTAAAATAAAGGTGAAAGTGTTAATCGAGTGGAATATGCAAGGATCATAGTTAGTGTAATGTACCTTATGAGTTGCACTAGACCTGATATTGCTTTCACTGTAAGCAGTTCAAGCAGATTTACAAGCAATCCAGGGGAGAAACACTGAAAATCAATTGTAAGGGTATTGAGATATCTCAGATATACTCGAAACTATGAATTGCATTATTCTAGAGATCCTGCTGTGTTAGAAAGATTCTCTGATGCCAGTTGGATATCTGATATTCAAGATACCAAAGGCACAAGTGGTTATATTTTCACTTTGGGAGGAGGAGATGTATCATGGAAATCCTCAAGACAAATAATTATAACCAGATCCACGATGGAATCTGAGTTTGTAGCCTTGAACAAAACTGGAGAAGAGGTAGAATGGTTACGAATTTTTTTGGAGGATATTCCTAAATGGCCAAAGCATGTACCCAAAATATGTATATATTGCGATAACCGAGCAACAATTGGTAGAGCACAAAATGTAATGTATAGTGGTAAGTTAAGACACATGTGACGTCGACACAATACCATTAGACAATTGATCTCAACTGAAGTTATTTCTATTGATTTTGTAAGATCAAAAGATAACATCGTGGATCTGCTAACCAAAGGGTTGAATCGAGATCAAGTTGATAAAACATCAAGAGGAATGGGACTAAAGCCCATGAATTATTAAGGCTCTATGTGAAGGAAACCCAACCTAGTTGACTGGAGATCCCAAGATCTAGGTTCAATGGGACAACCTACTTGCATAGACCTGGTGAGGTCACCGTGGGGGGGTTTTCATCCCCAAGGTCATTCCTACGATGAAAACAGTGGTTAAAATGTGGATAAGGTTAAGCAATGTTTTTAATGACCAATATGTGTTTCGTTTAACCGAACAACATAAGTCACCTATGTGAGAGTGAAGTGAAGCCGCTTCAAAGAGACTGTTGGGGAATAGTTCTCTAAGCTCTTGCAGAACCAGGAGATGTCCACGGCTATTTGGACATAACCATGAGAACTAAACTCTTGTCAGTAAGATATTTGTGTGAGGTATGTCATCACTTACACAAACGACAGGACAATTCAAGGATATCACGTATATTGGACAACCAGTAAGGTAAACATATTTTCATAACTGAAGGTTCAAAGGGGACGCCTACCTATCCTATGTAAATATTGAACGTAAAATCTATCACCACATCGAGTCAATGTTTTAAACAATCAAATTCATTCATGTGGGGAATTGTTTTAAAAATATGAATGAATTGATCATGACTATTCATGAAAAATAATTAAGTCTTTTCATGAAAAATAATTATTTCATTTCACCCCAAAAATTATGTCTTTTCATATTAACATTTTGATCAAAAGGTTATGATTTTTAATCAAATGGTTAAGTCATTTCATTTAAAGGTCTTAACCTTTCCATAAAGGTCTTAACCTTTCAATACAAATTCCTCTCCCTATATAAAGGCTAAGTTGTGACACATCTCAACACACAACTTTTTACTAATTTCTTTCAAGTACTTTCCTTTCAATTCTCCGATTCTTCCAAAGTCATTTTCCGGTGGTAGATAAAGACAAAGATTGTGTTCGATTGTTCACAACGGTTGTGCTTACTGTTGTGAACGTTTGTTGTTGTATCTTAGGAGACCAACGTCCAACGTTACCTAAAGCACCGAGGAGATGACAAATCTTTCTTAAGGAAACTGTTCATTCAGGCCTCAACAAAACTCTTCTTCTATTTATTCAGTTCTATCCGATTATAGGTTCTGTTTTAATTTCACATTTTTAAATTTTTTTTTATTGAAACAAAATTTTTAGATTATAATACTGCAACACTATTTTCAATATTTTGCAACATGTGTAATGTATAATAACATTATAAAGTGTGACATAAAATAAATGATTAATTATGTTACATGTGTCATAGATATTAAAGTGTCATGAAATTAAAGTGTAAATATCATAAGTTGTATTTATAATTTGATGATGGATAAAATTATAAATACTTAAAAGACGAACCTAATATTCAGTCTATATAAATATATAGTGATCCCCAATAAATAGCTTAACCTGTATAATTGTTATCCCGAAAGACTCAAAGATTTTAGTCTAATCAATTAATGCAAATATACTTTTATATTTAGTATTTTATTCTTGATTATTTGACATGATAAATCTTGAATTCTTTATTTATATCAATTAAATTTTTGGCATAAACCCCTTGAGATACACGAATCTAAACTCGAAGAGTCATTATTCATTGGATGGAATTGTTCTATAGAAACTTATCCATTAAATGCATTTAAAAAAAAAAACTTGAATGAACATATTTTCTTGTACCATCATTTTGTCACATTTTCCCGTCATATATAAATGGGTTTATAACAAATGTTGCTTAATTTCTTTTCTTGTACCATTAGTTTGTCATATTTTCCCATCATAATTAATTTTAGGGTAAACTACACCAGATACCACCGAACTTTAGGCGTTTTATCGTTTATATCATTGAACTTCTAATTTAACCAATTATAATACTGAATTTTGATTTACATAACCCCAACAGTCGGATAAAAACGTCGTTTTGGTGAGGTGTCTACATCGGCAGTCGTCAGCCACGTCGACAGTCATCAGCCATGTCAACAGTCGTCAGCCACATCATCGTTCCGTTAATGATTTAGTGGTATAATTAAAATAAAAATCAAAGTTTAGTACTATAATTGGCAAAATTGAAAGTCCAGTGGTATAATTGATACAATGCTTAAATTTTGATGGTATTTGATGTAGTTTACCCTTAATTTTATAAAACAATTGTGCATGTGATTGACGTTTGTCATTTATAAAAGCGAAAATGATTCGAGTAATTAGAAACAAAATACTATATTTATAAAAAAAATACTTATTTTGTTGTGTCAGAAAAATTCTTTAAGGTGCATATAGATAATGGTAGTTGTAAGGATCTTCTAAGCCTTCTCGGAAGGATGGTAACCATCCCAGAAAACGTATTTTGAGGCATCTTCACACGACAGAGGGATGCTTGTAGGGTTGCAGAATACACTGGCTTCTATCAGTCCAGTCCCGCAGCATCCTACTGTTGCCACTTCAAACCTGTATTCAAATCATTATGATCAAATTGTAAACACCTGTTCTTTCATTTCATGTGCGGAGGAGAAAAGTTCTACCATATTTTCCTGGGTTTTCAATTAGCGAGAGCAGTGGATAGTAGATGTCAAGAAAGATAATCTTCGTGTCTGGCAAAGTGAACATAGTTTTCAGATTATCTACCACACCGGAGTGCTTGGCGTTGTAGGCAGATGCCAATTGGTTTTCATCCTCGTAGCAATCTCTGTTTTTGCCTCCACCCACGGTTCTCTGTGACGGTACACACCCTATAGGCGACAACCCCAACAACCCTATTCTTCTTGCTCCTAATCCATACAAATCCTGCCACATTTCCCATGCTTAGTTTCATATTTACGTCACAATCAAAGCCTAAAACTTCATGTTTACCTGCAAGAACTGGGAAGCATAGCCGGCCACGAAATCTGAAGAAGCATTAATATCGTAATGGGTCTCCTGAATTGGGTGGTAAAGTAAGTGCTGGTAACACCTTTGCTGCCAGTGCAGACTATATATATGGCTTTTGAAACTATGGTTGCAGTTCTCTCTTCTCCGACTGCTGCTTCTATCTTCTTTATGCACTCCTTGAACAGCTCTAACTGGCTCGACATCGATATAACATTCTGCCAAAACAATGTCACACAGAGAGATGAGACTAATTATATATGTTGTGTATATGATTGCATTTATATGTATATGTATACACCACTGTTTCTGCTGAGAGGATCATATCCTGCTGCCCCTGAGGCGAAACTGACATCGGTCAGGAGATCTTGGAGCTGTACTTTTGGATCAAGATAAGTGTTTGTGAGTACTATAAATGGTGTGGATATGTGTGCAAGTATACACAATCGAACAAGTAATAAAGTGATGAGTGAGTATCGTTCTCCACAGGGATTGGGGGAAATCAAATAAGTTTGTCATGACACTTTACTCTGTCACCTAAGTAAAGTTAGAGATGGTATATATACAAATGGTAATGCTGTGGCAAAATGAATGGATGGTATGGAAATGGAACGATGACAATGTGGTAGCAAATGGATATGTTGTGGCAAAAGGAATTGTGTGTACTGCAATCAAATAAAAATGTAAAGGCAAAATAAACTATAAATACTGGATTTGATTATAAGGACTTTAGACTGCTCACACGACAAGCTACTATGGGAATGAATGATAGGAGTTACCTAGGAAAATCTAAGTTCACTTCTCAGAATGGTTTTACTTCTATGCTTTATCTGCCCGACAGAGTTTACTAAGGGTGCCCTATGATATCTTTAGTCAAGAGACTTGACAGATTGAAGATGCCTTGGCAAAACCGATTGGCGTTAGCTACTGCAGGGATCCTATTGGTCCAGATAACATGATATGTCTTGGCAATACCTTTTTGTGGCAACATTAATATCTAACCTATCGCTCATGCACAACTCCTTTTAGTCGAATGAAATCCTAGCCTTATCTCTAAGGTGGATTAGGCCTAGTTACTATCTAGAACCCCTTGCTTATGTGGTTCCTCCCTAGTTTTTCTCGAATACTAAGGATATGCTACTTAGGCATTCTCTCGAACACTAAGTAATCACCTAAGGAATTACTACTCTCATAGCTCCTACAACCTTAAGGCATTAAAATTCATAAGCAAAACAGATTATAACATAGAAAAACAATCATTCATTAAAGCAAAACTTAAATATCCAAAATAAACTCCCACCAAATAGGATTAGTTCATGGTGGGGTTCGAAATAAGCAAGCACAAAGCAAGTTAATCCATTCCTTACAACCCAAATAATAAATAACGAAAGCAAAGAGCAAAGAGAATGAGGAAAAGCATTCGACGTGCACTGCCGGAGCTTCCCTCGGCCACCACGAACAGTCCCAGCGATCTAGCTCCTCTCGGACGCCTAGTTCGCCACTCCCTATAGCCTATCAACGGAGGAATGCCACAACAAAAACGATTGACGGAAAAAGAGAGAACTTTTTCTCCGAATTTTTAGGCTCTTGGCGGCTGTTTAAAAATCTCCAAGTCTCCTCAAAAAGTCAGGCTTCATCTTCTAATTATAGGGGAGAATGAACCTTGGGTTTTGTGTTAAAATTACACTAGCACCCTAAAGTTCATTCATTTTATGTGAGAGTCGGTGCAAAGATGGTAATTAGCCCCTCCATTATGGTTGATTGCAGAAAGCACTTTTTATGCCATGACAGTTGGCTCTTACTAAAAATATTCTTCTTTCGTTTTGATCGCTCTCGAAATGCCAATTGGTTCGGCATTTGCATTCTCCTCAACAGTCTCCTTATGTCATGGCATTTCCCTTTTGCTTTTCATTGCTCCCAAAACCTGCACATCACCAGACAAACACCTTCCCCATAAAGCAACACTGATTACAAAATAAAATGTCGCGACAAACAGAATTTCACCACATGCAACTATATGCTCCTAAATGCATCTATATGATCATATATGAGCTCTAAGACAATCAATAGATTAAGTGAAAAAGTCCCAAATATGACCTTTTTACGAAGTTATCACACCCCCAAACTTAAGCTATTGCTTGTCCTCAAGCAATAGATAGTATTAAGCAAAATAAAAATACCATGGCAAGTTCAGAAACAAAATAGTTATATGGGATAAAATTTCAGCCCTAAAAACATTTGGCTTCAACATGCTAGACTAATTTGAGAAATCAAGTCTGTCTCCTAGGGAAAGATTCTTTGTGAGGGTGTGTGCGTGTTGTATCCAGTCATGCTTAACAAACCTAAAAAATTTCTACGCAAGTTTTCTTGTTCTGCCACAACATTTACAATTTTTTTACTCCCACATTGTTTTCTTTTCCTTTTTGCTTTTTTTAACACTGCTACGAGGGGAGTCAGCCCATCACACCTATCATCCCACACTCTAGGTGAAATGGAGCATACCTTCCACCCCGAGCTAGTAAGGTAGAGTCATTCTGTGGCTGCTTTCATTTACTCATATACCATAGTTGCCATTTATTTATTTGTAGTTTCCAGGAAATGTTATGGCATAGCGGAGTGTCCCTCTACAGATATGCCGAAACATTTATTCATAACTTTAATTTTTTTTTTATAAATTGGGGTTTTCATCGTTTATGCCAAGACATGCAAGAATTCTCTTATAAAATTTTTTTAAGTTCCTTAAGCATGAAAAAACATACAATCGTGTATTCAAGGGTTTCAAAGAAGCAAGTCCTAGAGTTGGTTTTATTATCCTCAATAGTCATGTACATTCAATCCTAGCCATCAAGAGTTTATCATCATCGGGCATCCTTAATTTATTCCAAAAACCAATTCAACCACTTACTAATGTCATGGCATATTCATTCTACTAATACTATCATGCAATGATTTAAGAACACTACCTCCCCCAAACTTGAGAGAAGCATTGTCCTCAATGCTAAATAAAAACTAAGGAAAAATCTAAACTACATGCTATGAAATTCAATGCAATGCAAGATACCTTGACTTCATGCTTGTGGTGGTGCGGCGGTCGTGTGACGTATGCGCTTTTGTAATTGTGTGGGGCTGGAATGTTCAGAATATGATGCTGGTACGGTTAAAATCTGGATGGACCCTAACCTTGCAAAGAAAAATAAAATAGTAAAATAAAAGGAAATTGAATAAAAACAGTAACAAAATAAACATTTATTTATGCACAAGAGTAAATCTAAAATGTCATGACATCCTTAAGATGTTGGGCCAGTATCAACTTCATACAAGAAAAGTGCAGTCTTGTCACCCAATGGTGGGACTCCTTGGTATGCCTTCAGGCGCTGACCATTGACTTTAAAGAAGGATCCATCATCCATGTTCTTGATATCCACAGCGCCATACGGGTAAACATGGTGGACTTCGAATGGTCCCGACCATCGTGACCTCAGTTTGCCAAGGAAGAGTTTGAGCCTAGAGTTAAACATGAGCACTTTCTGTCCAACATGAAAATGTCGTGGAAAAATAATTTTATCATGCCACTTCTTCGTTTTTTCCTTATAGAGCTTGGCATTTTCATATGCTTGTGCTCGAAACTCTTCCATCTCATTCAGATCGAGCAGTCGTTTCTCCCCAGCTAGTTGTGCATCAAAGTTCAACTTCTTGATTTCCCAGTATGCCTATGTTCTAGCTCAACTGGAAGGTGGCATGCTTTTTCAAATACTATCTTAAAGGGCGACATTCCCAAAGGTGTTTTAAATGTCGTCCGGTATGCCCAGAGTGCTTCATCGAGTTTTTGGGACCAATCTTTCCTTCGGGGGTTTACCACCTTCTCGAGAATCTACTTGACTTCACGGTTGGACACTTCAGCTTTCCCATTTGTTTGTGGGTGATATGCCATGGCAATATTGTGGAGAAGTCCTTGATAAATCGTCTATAAAATCCAGCATGTCTAAGGAAACTCTGAATGCCCTTGACAGAAGTTGGTGGCGGTAGCTTCTCGATCACCTCGATCTTGGCCTTATCAACCTCAATGCCCTTTGCAGAAATCTTATGGCCTAGAACAATGCCTTCGGTCACCATGAAGTGGCATTTTTCCATGTTCAGCACGAGATCGAGTTCCTCGCATCGCTTCAGTAACTTTACCAAATTGCCGAGTAATTTTTTAAAATCATCTCCAGAAACAGAAAAATCATCCATGAAAATTTTCAGGAAATCCTCAACCATGTTAGAAAATATGGTTTGCATGCAGCGTTGAAAAGTTGTCGAGGCATTACAGAGTCCAAAAGGCGTTCTTCGAAAAGCATACGTTCCATAAGGACACGTAAATGTTGTCTTCTCTTGGTCCTTCGGTGCGATGGAAATTTGATTATACCCCGAGTATTCGTCTAAGAAATAATGAAATACCTTGCCAGTAAGTCGATCCAACATTTGATCGATGAACGACAAAGGGAAATGATCCTCCTTGGTGGCCTTGTTGAGCTTGCGGTAGTCCATGCAGATTCGCCACCCGGTGACTATGCGTGTAGGTAGCAACTCGTTGTTTTCGCTTGTCACCACAGTCGTGCCTCCCTTCTTTGGCACACATTGGACGGGACTCACCCAAGAGGTATCCAAAATAGGGTAAATCACTCCAGTATCAAGCCATTTGAGAATCTCTTTCATCACAACTTGCTTCATGATTGGGTTCAATCTTCGTTGTGGCTCTATAGATTTGCCATGGCATTCCTCCAGCAGGATTTTGTGCATGCAAATAATTGGACTTATTCCCTTCAGATCTACCATCGTCCATTCTAAAGCTTTCTTATGTTGTGACAAAACACTTAGAAAACTAGATTCTTGGTTAGGAGTAAGGGTAGAGGAAATAATCATAGGCAAAGTTTCATTACTACCCATATAAGCATATTTAAGATGTTGTGGCAAATTCTTAAGTTCTAGGGTAGGAGCATGCTCTAATGAGGGCTTGGGAGGAACAAATTCATCAAAATTCAATGGTTCAAAATGCGTACTTGGGCTAGCTTTGAGAAAGCTAGCCTATTGTTCCTCGATAGAAAAATCATTAGGCTCTTCAGCCTTTAAGTCTTTGAATAACCCCTCATCAGGTCCTAGTTGAATAAAGTTCTCCTGGCAAAATTGATATGCTTCTTTCGTGATTACTGTATCCACTTCTAAAATGCTTTGGCAGTCTTTATAATCATCCATGTACTTGAGGGATCGAAAGACATTCATAGTGACATATTGATCGGCCACTCTCATGGTCAGCTCACCCCTCTCGCAGTTGATAAGAATACGACCGGTAGCTAGGAAGGGTCTCCCCAAGATGATGGGTATTGTGGCATCGACCTCACGGTCCAGAATCAGAAAATCAACAGGAAAAATGGACTTGTCAACCCGTACGATGACATCTTCAATTCGCCCTTCAAGACACACATGTGAACGATCGGCTAATTGCAAGATGACGGATGTGGGTCTCGCATTTCCTATCCCAAGCTTTATGAAAATTGACTTAGGCATCAAGTTCACACTTGAGCCAAGGTCACATACTGACTTCCCAACAAATTTGTCTCATATCGAACATGGGATGATAAAACTGCCCGGATCATGTCTCTTCGGTGGCAGCTTGCTTAAGGATGAGCAAAATTCTTTTGATGTGGTAATTGTCTCGTACTGCTCAACCTTTCTTTTCTTGGTCACAATCTCCTTGAGGAACTTAGCATATATAGGCATTTGTTCCATAACCTCCAGAAAAGGAACATTGATTTGAAGTTGACTCAGAATGTCAACAAACTTTCTGAATTGAATATCCTCGTTATGCTTTTTCAGTCTTTGCGGAAAAGAAAGTGAGGGTCTGGATTCTTGTACTGACGGGGTGGGAACAGAATTTGCCTTGGCATTTTTTTTTGCTCCCTCAATCACTTTACTTGATGAACTCTCATCCTTATCCTCTTCCTCTGGTGCTTCTTCTAGCACTTCTTGATCAGCTTGTACAGTATCAGGGGGTGAATTATCCTTCGATTTTCCCTCAAACTTGTCTTCGACATTAATTTGTGTACCACTTCGTAGAGTTAGAACACTATAGTACTCTTTATTATGAGGTTTTTTGACTTCAGTGTCACTTGGCAAATGTCCTGGTTGTCGTTCTTGTAATGCCGCGACAATTTGACCAAGGAAACTCCAATGTCCTCAGCGACGAACTGTGGCTCTGAAGCAGAGTCCCTTGGTTTTTTATGGAGGTTGCATGGTCTTGCAACATTGTCTTCGTTGTTGCTATGAACTCTTGCATTGTGGCCTCCAAAGAACTGGTGTTAGATGAAGATGACCCTCCCTTGTTGGAATTATGCCATGGCATATTCGATTGAAATCCCTGGGAGTCATTGAAATTCTGCTGCCGAGCTGGTTGATGAGCATTGTTGGTTCCTTGGTTTCCCCACGAAAAGTTTGGATGTTGACGCCATCCAGGATTATATGTGTTAGAATAGGGGTTGTTGTTACATCGGTTGAAGTTGCCTACATAATTGATGGATTCTTGATTGGTCGGGCAGTCACTCTCATTATGATTGCCGTGGCATAATAAAAATGCTGAATGGGCTACATTCACTTCTCTCACCTCACTTGGCCTTTGCAGATTCTTCAACATGTTGGTGATAGCAGCAAGTTGGGCAGACACCGAATCCTTAGTGTCTAGCTCGAAATTTCTATGTGATTTTCGCCCAAGTCCAAGCCTTGTGGATGAAAACTGATAATCATTGGTGGAAATCATATCCAGAATGCCAAATGACTCTGCTTGTGATTTGTCAAGTAAGATCCAATTTACTGAGGCATCTAGCATCATCCTCGTAGGTGCATTAACTCCATTGTAGAACATCATCACTTGCATCCAATCTTGAAAACCATGATTCAAACATTTACGAAGCAATCCCTTGTATCGATCCCATCACTCATACATCGACTCGTCATCAGCTTGACGAAAAGAAGCAATGTCGTTCCTCAGTTGGGTGTTCATGTTCGGAGGATTATACCGCAGTAATTTTTTTTTTGCACAGATCAGTCCACGACTCCATTGAACCCGCTGGAACGCCACTCAACCAAGCCCTTGCTCGATCACGCAGAGAATAAGGAAATAACTTTAGTTTCAAAACATCTTCGTGCACTCCTTGTTGGCGAAAGGAATCACACACACCTCCAAGAAGTTACGAATGTACTGACTGACATCTTTATTTGGCATGACCCCAAATTGCCCTATGGAGTTCAGCATATTAAACATGATAGGTTTGAGCTCGAAGTGGGATGCCTGAATTTATGGTGCCACAATTCCAGGATTTAAGTCATCTAAGATCGGGTTTAAGTGATCACGAATGGCACGAGGTCGGGTTGTATTCCCAGCATTTAGATTTGCCTCGGCATTCTAATCTTCCTCATGACCAATGCCTTCATTTTTCGATTTGATACATATTTGCACGTTGAGCACTTCTTCTTTGCCTAAAAAGCCTCTCGATCTCAGGTTCAACTGGTTCTAATGGCTCATTCGAATGTCTTCTGGTCATACACCTCGAAAAACCTGAAATAGATAAAGAAAATAAAAAGTAAAGCTATCTAAAAAAATAAACAAGTAAAATAATAATGCTATGACAAAAACAAATTAACTTCCAGTTGCCAATCCCCGGCAACGACGCCAAAAACTTGTCCGTTGTTTGTGAGTAGTATAAATGGTGCAGATATGTGTGCAAGTATATACAATCGAATAAGTAATAAAGTGATAAGTGAGTATCTTTCTCCACAGGGATTGGGGAAAATCAAATAAGTTTGTCACAGCACTTTACTTTGTCACCTAAGTAAAGTTAGAGATGGTATATATGCAAATGGTAATGCTGTGGCAAAATGAATGGATGGTATGGAAATGGAACGATGACAATGTGGTAGCAAATGGATATGTTGTGGCAAAAGGAATTGTGTGTACTGTAATCAAATAAAAATGTAAAGGAAAAATAAAATGTAAATACTGGATTTGATTATAAGGACTTTAGACTCCTCACACGAAAAGCTACCATGGAAATGAATGATAGGAGTTACCTAGGAAAATTTAAGTCCACTTCTCAGAATGGTTTTACTTCTATGCTTTATCTTCCCAACAGAGTTTACTAAGGGTGCCCTATGATATCTTTAGTCAAGGGACTCGACAGATTGAAGATGCCTTGGCAAAACTGATTGGCGTTAGCTACTGCAGGGATCCTAATGGTCCAGATAACAGGATATGTCTTGGCAATACCTTTTTGCGGCAGCATTAACATCTAACCTATCGCTCATGCACAACTCCTTTTAGTCGAATGAAATCCTAGCCTTATCTCTAAGGTGGATTAGGCCTAGTTACTATCTAGAACCCCTTGCTTATGTGGTTCCTCCCTAGTTTTTCTCAAATACTAAGGATATGCTACTTAGGCATTCTCTTGAACACTAAGTAATCACCTAAGGAATGACTACTCTCATAGCTCCTACAACCTTAAGGCATTAAAATTCATAAGCAAAACAGATTATAACATAGAAAAACAATCATTCATTAAAGCAAAACTTAAATATCCAAAATAAACTCCCACCAAATAGGATTAGTTCATGGTGGGGTTTGAAATAAGCAAGCACAAAGCAAGTTAATTCGTTCCTTACAACCCAAATAATAAATAACGAAAGCAAAGAGCAAAGAGAAGGAGGAAAAGCCTTCGACGTGCACTGCCGGAGCTTCCCTCGGCCACCACAAACAATCCCAGCGATCTAGCTCCTCTCGGACGCCTAGTTCGCCACTCCCTATAGCCTATCAACGGAGGAATGCCACAACAAAAACGATTGACGGAAAAAGAGAGAACTTTTTCTCCGAATTTTTAGGCTCTTGGCGGCTGTCTAAAAATCTCCAAGTCTCCTCAAAAAGTCAGGCTTTATCTTCTATTTATAGGGGAGAATGAACCTATGGTTTTGTGTTAAAATTACACTATCACCCTAAAGTTCATTCCTTTTATGTGAGAGTCAGTGCAAAGATGGTAACTGGCCCCTTCATTATGGTTGATTGCAGAAAGCACTTTTTATGTCATGATAGCTGGCTCTTTATAAAAATATTCTTCTTTCGTTTTGATCGCTCTCGAA